TCTACTGACTGAGCCAGCCAGGCGCCTTATCAAATTTTTAAAATAAAATAATCTTAAAAGCTCTTTGGCTCTCATTACAGTGGCATCTCCTTAACACTTCAGTTAAGTGAGAATTAGTAATCTTCAGTTACATCTTCCTTTAAATGCTGCTGATCCAACACTGTATTCTCTACAGCTATACCAAGGGTAATTGAAAAGAGTAATTTATTCTTAATAAATTAAAGGACAAGATTAAAGAAAGACAATAGTTAAGTTCACTAATACTTTGGCAAAATTTTCTATAAATGGTATTTCACACAAGATAGTATTCATTCTTACTTTATCAAATTTTCCAAGGCTGCTCTTTGTCCGGGGATCTCCCTCTTCAGAGCCGGTCATTGCCAGTTGCTGCAAAAGGCGGCCAACCTGTAATCCAAAGCAGTAGTTGGGAGACACGGGCTATAGATACTTACAAATTCTTCTCTATGAAACTGCTTCCATTCTAGTCTAAAAAGCTGTTTCATAATAATATTTACACCATCTGACCAGGCATGCAAAGTAGGGTCCCAAATTAAATGTGTATCTTCTCTACATCAGCTTTTACTATATTTAGATTAAGAGTTATAGACAATAAATAGAAAATTTTATTTTAACATTACATTGACAATAAGAAATAAAAATATAATACCTTTGTTTCTGGTATTATACTTTTGATACATTTAGGAATTTTAAAATTCACTGCAAAAGTTGATTCAAATTACCTGAAATTAATATTAAGTACTTTTCCCTTTATAGTTCACAAAATTCTCAAGGTAGAATTTTTTTTCTAGATTTAAAAAATCCTACAGAACAGAGCTGCTTGGAAAGTAAATGTTAATTCACAGAGCAAGTTCCTTACTGGTAAAAGAGAACTGTTAATCTACTCTCTTTACTTTTTTTTAGATTTATTTATTTATTTCAGAAGAGGCAGGAGGGACAGAGGGAGAGAATCTCAAGCAGACTCCCCAATGAGCACAGAGCCCAACATGGGGCTCGATCTCACAAACCTGAGATCATGACCTGAGCCAAAATCAAGAGTCAGACGCTTATCGATTGAGCCACCCAGGCGACCCTAATCTACTCTCTTTAAAGACACTTTGAGGAAAGCTCGTATCATACAGTATCATCTTAATATCTGGTATAATTCCCTTTTTTACTCATTTTGAGAAAATAAGTGATTCAATCTCTATTGGAACAACAAAAATAAAAACCTACAACTATACTATCTTAAGAATAAATTTATTCTTTCATAGATGATAAAAAACTTTAAATTTTATTTCAGGGATTTTTATATAGTTAATTGCTAAACATACCAACATAAGAGAAATGCCCATGGGAAGAAAAAACTTATCATTAAAAAAACATCATCCAGGGGCGCCCAGGTGGCTCAGTCATTGGGCGTCTGCCTTCGGCTCGGGTCATGATCTCAGGGTCCTGGGATCGAGCCCCATATCAGGCTCCCTGCTCCGTGGGAGGCCTGCTTCTCCCTCTCCCACTCCCCCTGCTTGTGTTCCTGCTCTCACTCTCTCTCTGTCAAATAAATAAATCTTTAAGGGAGCCTGGGTGGCTCAGTCATTAAGCGTCTGCCTTCGGCTCAGGTCATGATCCCGGGGTCTGGGATCGAGCCCCGCATTGGGTTCCCCACTCTGCGGGAAGCCTGCTTCTCCCTCTCCCACACCCCCTGCTTGTGTTCCCTCTCTCGCTGTCTCTCTCTCTGTCAAATTAAATAAATAAAAAATCTTTATAAAAAAAAAAATCACTGAGTGTCAAACTTCATTTTTTTTCTATTTTTAATTCTGAAAACGGACATTTTGGGATGATGAAAGCCAAAGACTTGAAGATACGATGCCATATTTTTGTTGATGATATTATTCCATTATTAGGTTAAATGTAAGATGGATTAATTTTAAGAAACTGTCAGTTCTTAACAAACCAGCTCATGGAAATTTAAAAATGAAATCCCATTCTTCAAAATGTGTAAAATAACTATTAATGTTCACTAACTGTTGCTAAGCTCATTTTCATTAAAAAATGGGCACTAAAACACTGCTCCCTTGGCCTAAACACTCTTTCTCTCCCTCTCTGGTCTACTTTGTCTAACTCCCATTCATCCTTCAAGAGAAAGTATATGCTTCACTGTCTCCAGGATCTTCTCCTGACACCATCACCAACATGGGTGCCCCATAAGCCTCCATGTATGCTTATCTCCATCAAACACAGCATAATGACAGCAACTGGTCTCCTCTTATTCTCCCCAACTAGACTATCAGCAACTACCAGAGCAACGGCATATCCTAGTGGTCTTTGTATCCCCAGTGTCTAACACGGTGCCCCCCCATGCAGGGTAGTCATTACACCTACTCTTTTTGCATGGATTTTTTGCATGAATTAAATGAAACAACATCTATAAAGTGCTCATCCACAGTCTGGTACAGAGTACATGGTAATGCTAAATGTGTGTGTGTGTGTGTGTGTGTGTGTGTGTATAGATAACAGATGTTTACTAAGTGAATAAAACTTAATTAAACCCAATTCTTAAACTTGACAAAATGAAACCTTTATTTTATAAAATAACAAAGATAACCTTAGCTCACTTGATAAAAATTATTAAAAATAACAATAATGGAAAAGTTGTAACTGTATTTTCAACTTTACCGACAGAAACCTCTAAGTTATTATTATATTACTTAGAACTTTGAAGAAATGACAGGGCTATATAATTCAAATACTGACACTTTCAAAATTTTCCCAAAAAAGTTACAAAAATATCAATAAAGTATACTGTAGATGGCATGATCTCAATTAATTATGAAAAGTATGTCTAGATAAAGCTAAAGCCTACACATAAACCTTAACTGGTCCAATTTTTAAAAATTGTATTAGTATCAGTAAACACAAAGGGAAAGGCTTTCCCAAATTATTTAAAATCATATTCCAAAACACTGAGCAGTAATAAAGGTCAATAAAAAAATACTATATTTAAGGGAAAGCCCGAATATGAGAAATGCTCTTTACCTATAGGCAATCGATTCTTTTTATTTGCTGGAGTGGTTGCTGGAGACAGCTGAGGAGTATTATAGGGAGTCATTTCCAAACTGCTGCTTTTTCCTGGCTTTGCCTGGGGCAGGTTTGCCAATAAATTGTCAAGAGCCATCCTATCTTCTCTCAGTTGATCTCCAGACATCACACTCTTCATAAAATTCACCTGGCAAAGGTAAAAGGACATTAGCTAGTGAGATCAATTTTTCAAACACAATATCTATTTCTCACACAATGTACTTATCTATGACTCTGCCCATGCTTAGATAAATTACTTTTGAGAAAATCCTATTAAAGAATAAGGCCATTACCAGAGTAATAAGCTGACTATAGGTTATATAAACCACAGTTCTGCTCAATCCTTCCAGAAGATTAACGGAGGACATTGGAGGGGTCTCCACTGCACGGCCCCCAATCACAACATCAAGAAAAGCAGCAACACAGCTCTGTTAAACAGGAAAAGATCACAGTGAAATATTTCCTCTTTAAAATAAGGGGACAAAATTTCTGGTTAAGGTAGACAAGCATGCAAAAGTTTTTCTTCTTGAAAATTATATTAAACCCAACAATGAAAAAATTAAATTCTTTTTTTTTTTTTTAAAGATTTTATTTATTTATTTGAGAGAGAGAAAGTGAGAGAGCACAAGAGGGGGGAG